CTTAAGACATGATCTCTACAAAATGCAACAACAGTTATATTAAAATGATGAGATTATAGGCGAGGCTGCTATGTAAGGTTGCGGGGCTGCCATGTAAGGTTGCATAGTTTGTGTACTGCACAAAGGTGCCCAGCCAGGAAATGAGGGCTGATGAATATCCAGTACCCTCTCTGCCTGTGCCTGAAGGAAGTGGCCTTTTTCTGTGCCATTTGATTGTAAAGCTATTTTCTCAGGGTGCTGTGCCTGCCCAGAGAGGACACTGTTTTCCAATTTGTACAAAGTTTCTATATAAACTAGAGGTCTTGACTATGGGTGATTATTTAAATTTGACAGTGGCAGAGGGTGCAGGAGCCAAGTGGGTGAAAGTGAGCAGAATAATGTTTTTTTCTTCCTACTTTAATCCAGTTCTGCCACCTCTGAGGCTACACACCCCTCCAGTAGCTCTTCTTGCCTCTCTCCCTGCCCTCTCACATTTTTTCCCTCCCTTTACTTTTTATGCAGCTCATTCTTCTTTCGCTTCCCTTTCCTCTATCTCTCTTTTGCTTTCATCTTTTCCTGCCCTTCCCTCTTACTCTCAGAAGATAGACTGAAGGACAAGAGCCATCCCTGTTTTACTGACCTCCTCCCTGAGTCCTGGTCATCAGTGATATCCCTATAATCACTTTGGGGTTTCTGCTCATGGTCAAATCTTTGCACAACTACAAAGCATTAGAAGTCTTACTTTTTTGTTTTATACTTTTGACTCCTGCCAGACACCCCTCTCTCCCCAGTAACTAGGGTCCAGGACCCCCAGTGCAGACAGAACTGGTGGTCCATTAAACTAATTCATCGTGAGGAGTTAATGGCCAACTGCATTGCATCAGTCAGATATGTTGTCATTTAAAAGGAAGGTGCTTGGAATACCGTGGTTTAGCCATAAGGAGGGAATCTGAAAGGGAAGAATTTTAGCAGTTCTCTGGCTAAGGTGAATAATAAGGAATTTTTTGATAGAAGCACCCCTCAAACATGTGCTTACTCTGCCTTCAGTACTTCAGTTAGGTATTTTCCACAGACGGGCCTGAAACAAAATTGCCAGTCTCCATATGTGCCTCTCTTCCTCCTCACTGTTTATAGTATATCTGAGATTATAATTCTTTCTCCAGCGAGCTCATATCACAGCTTCCAAATTCACTGACCCAAAAGCCATAATGACCATTTTCACAGCCAGGCTCATCCAGAATCTATCCTTGGTGGTCCAGCATCTGCTCTTCTTCATGCTCTCACATCCCCTAAGAAACCCTAGCCACCCCTATGGTTTTGATTCTACCAACAGCCGATGACCCTCAAGCCTGCACCTGCAGGCTGGAGTTCTATCATGGTACACACTGCCTACTAGTCATGGTCACCTGTATTCCTCAGGCAATTCAACTCCCCTCCCTGCAGCCACACAAATCTTTATGTTTCCCAGGTGCTTTACCAGCATCCAAAAACCAAGAGTCAGACCCACAATCATCTCCTCATTTCTTCCTAAGGCCTCCTACGTCTGTCCCTTCCTCGTATCCTCCCTCTCACTACCAGTAGGCCATTACCATCTCTTGACAGACCATTGCGAAGGCCCCAACTAGTTGAGAAGGCCCCAACTGGATCCTGGATCCCAGTCTCTCACGTTTTCAAATCACTCTTTACTTGCTGCCAGAATGATTTTTCCTAAACTGCAAAGCTCAGTATGTTATTCCTTTAGTAGAACTTCTCAAACTCCTCCATTTAAGTATTCCTAATGCCTAATCTATAGTTAGCAATAATTTACTGTATGTTCTCAAGTGGCTGAAACAAAGGAGCTCAATATTCTCATCACAAAGAAATGATAAAGTTTTGTGATTATGAATATGATAATTACCCTGATTGGATCATTAGACATTATATACATGTGTTAAAATATAACTCTGTATCCCATAAACACATACAATCAATACATGTCAATTAAAAATAAATAAATTTCTTTTAAAAAATAAGTACTCCTGATGCAAGAAGAGTAAAATAGGAGGAGGAGTCACAAGAGCAGGATCCAGGAGGCCCCACCTACAGCATCATTTCTTTTTAAGTCACTGTTATTATTTTACTTTATTTACTCATTTTGGTGGCTGACTAGTACAGGGATCTGAACCCCTTGACCATGGTGTCATAACACCACGCTCTAACCAACTGAGCTAACCAGCCAGCCCTTGCCATTTTGCATTCCAGTCTATAATTCATTCATTTTTGTTTTAAAATAAAAATCATATTTACCTAAATGTTCGAGCAATGTTGATCCTGCAGAAAGGTACATGTTTATCCTGTGACTTTTTAAAATTTCAGTCTCATGTTTTAAAATTTCAGGCTCCATTAGGAGTAGAACTTTTGGGTGGCTTTGATCTCTACCATGGCTAATATAATTTAATGGGTATTAAACTATTGTCCTCAAGGTAAGGATCACCTCTGTTTCTATGTGTAAATGCTTAATAAGGGTGGCTTTGAAGTATAGCACTACTCTTAAGCATTCTTATGGAACTAAGAGAAAGTGTTTGGTACTCCACCTAGCCTACAGTGAGTGCTCAGTGGCTATTTTGCTTATCACTTATTTATCTCCATCCAGATCTGACAATGAAATATAAGATGTGATGGCACGGTCCACGCCATGGTGGAGTCCTGAAAAGAATAGCTTGGGCTTCCCTCTCCAAGTTGGCAAGGCGACTGGAGGGAGAGCTGCTGGCAGCGCCATGGCTACGAGCACTTGCTTTCGCTGTAAGGATCTCTGCCTTGGCATAGTGGTACTGCTTTTACTTTCTCTTTTGATGTTTTGGTCATTTGTTGCCAACTGCCTTTGTGGAAATGTTATTTTTTCCCTAGTTTGTCCCATTCCTGAGAGTGTGTTCCTTCCAAGATCCTGGCTTAAGTGAGATGATCTTTGATCTGGCTCCTTGTCTACAAAGGCCCAAGGCTTTGTCTCTGGCCCTCCTTGTGCATGGAAGCTCCAGGCTCAGGGTGGTGGCTGCTCCAGAGCATCCTGCAGGCTTAATTTTCTGCTCACTCACTTTTCTGGTCTCATGCTGTGCTTTGCTACTCCTGTCCATGTTTTTTTTCATACTTTCTCATGGACTTATTCAATTTTTCAAAGGGGTTTTAAAAATATTTTTATTAAGTATTTCTAGAAGTTACTTTATAAGAGGGTAAAATGTCACGGTCCACGCCATGGCAGGATCCTAAAGGAGTCAGCTTGGGCTGCCCTCTCCGAGTTGGCAGGACCGCCGGAGGGAGAGCTGTTGGCAAGGCTGCAGCTACGAGCACTTGCTACAACCGTAAGGGTTCCTGCCTCAGCTTCAAGGTACTGCTTTTGCTTTCTCTTTCTATATTTTGGTTAGTGTGGCAGTTCTCTGAATTCCCAAAAGATTATAAAAGTAACATAAATGATTTTGTGGTCATTGAACTAAACATTCCCACAGAGGATCCAAATAAATTGGACAATTCAAAATTATCCCCTTATGATAAATTGACCACACCAACATATGTTCCAAAAGCACCGCTCATGACTAAATATGAGCTGCAGCCTAATGTAAGTCGGCAAACATCATTTACTGGAGATTGTATTAATAGCAAGAGAATGGTTGGCATTAATGAGAGATTATATGATTGGGACAAATTAAGTATATGGGAACGAAACTGTAGAACCTCCTTTACTTGGTGGTGTCCAGTTTTGAACAAGTCATTAAGAATCAGGTGTCGGGATAAAAATATATGCTGTAAAATTATTAAGGCTGCAAAATTAGATCTTACAAGAATAAGAGAGTACACCTAGTTTTGTGAGGGATGGTGCTGTGCACAAGGACACTTTGACATTTAGATCAAGATTACAGGGCCACAGAAATGTTAACATTTTCCTTTTAGCAAAGTTGTATTTAACCAAAATAGCTGCCACCCTGTTAATAGGGTGGATATTAACCACAGCTAGCTAACAGAAAACGGTCACAAGATAACTTCAAGACAATGAAGGGATGGTTTCGATCTGATAACCTGATTCCAGGAAAAAGAAGCACGAGTTGATCACCTGAGACATGCTGACAAAAGGAAAGGACTGGCTGACCTCTAAAAAAGTTTCCTCCCTGCTTTTCGGACTATTGATTTAAGCTTGCTGATACAATAAAAATAGTACCCAAAACCCCCCTGCAGAGAAAAATCTAAATAAAAAGCATTGTCTCATGCTCTACTGGGCTCCAGCTGCAACACGCTGACAGCCCGCAGAGAGAGAACGTGCATATTGATGCATTGAGGTTTCTGTCTGTGTTTGTTATTTTCAACGACCCCTAATCCCTTTTTCAAGGGCCCCCAACTCGACTGGAGCTGGTCTCTGGCAATGTTATACTTCTGAATTTCGAAGCAATACCCACTTTTAGTTAAGGGCAATGATGGCCTTTCCTTATCCAGTGTTCGATTATAGCTTGGCTGCCAGGGACTAAGATACACTTCTTTTCTGGCCAGGCTTAAGTCACATAGATATAATCTTCAGGCTAGAAAGAATTCTGTCCTTCCCAAACCCTAGAGCAGTGTTCTTCATTTTTTCTTTCTTTCTTTTTTTTTTTTGGTAGCATACTCTTACCAATAAAAAGTTTCTGATCAAGTATCCCCAGAATATGCATAATCATTTATTTATAAGTTGTATACATGTATTACCATATTAATATATCTGTGCTTTTGTAAAATCCATCAAAATAGAAATGTAAAAGGGGATATAAAAATGAATAGAAATAGAAGTTCTCAAATTTTCTTCTCTCACCCCAATGGATTGTCTTATATCCAGTCTACTGACTGAAAGGACTCACAGATGGCTTCTAGATGGCTTGGTGAGAGCAAGGTTCTCTAGTGTCAGGTCACTAAATACATGTGGCCCCAATTCACCCATTGGCACACTCCCTTCAATTAATCCTATTAAAAGCAATTGGCTCTACTTTTAAAAATAAAAATTAAAAAAAGATAACTCAGTGAAAGAGTGATGATTTAACAGGCTTTTTTTCCAGTGGAACCAGCTTTTTATGGTCATGCTAAATGCTGTATTTCATTCCAAATGAAAAGAGCTAAACTACTGATTATACTGTAGGATAAGGAGAAAGGCAATAAAGCTGCAGTATATCCTTGAAGCATGCCAAAATGATATGGTAAGGGAAAAAAAGGTTTTATCTCATAAGGTCATAAACACTGAACCACTTAATTTTTCATTCCAGGAAATCAGCAGTCACCAACACGACACTTTGCAAAATATTTAAAATTTGTGATAATAACAAGTACTGCAGTGGCACTCCGTGTGGTTCTCCACTTTGGCATTTCCCATTACTGTGGCCTAAAGGGGAAGGAAAGAAGATGATAGATAGATACATACATACATACATTTGGAAAATATTAAATAAAATTGTCTGCAGCCAACTGAACTAAATAGATGCTTGCTACATTTGCATACTCTCCCTTTCAGGGAATATTTTCACTCTAAAAGTTTGAGTTTGCATTCATTACATAAGTACACTACTTTCTCCCAACCTGCCCCTTGTCACCTCCACTGCTCTTCTCTTCATTTTGACTTAATCCAGCCTGTGCCCACAGGCAGCTAACTCTTCTAATGACAGAGTACAAATGCAGACCCTGCCTGTACAAATGCCCAATAAAGGATTGCATTAAATCGCTTGGATGTGCTCTGTGAATATTTTTCTGGCTGGGCTATTAGAAAGCCCATATTATGAGATAGTAAGTATTCTTTAAGTTCTTACCTTGGTAAATGCTTTGGCCACACAGCATGTGGCCTCCGAGGTGATGTTCTTTGGAACTAACATTGTCTTCTTAGACCTTGCTGGAGTGGGATATGCTCTGGAGAAGCAGCAGCCCATGCACTGATAAATTGGGGCACCCAGTTTAGAGAAGTATTTGTTTTCCTTTAACTTGCATTCTGGGCAACCTATCAGGGAAAAAATACATGGAGTAAAATAATACAAGAAAGATTCAAAAAGAAATTATGAATTTTTTCATATTATGAGATAGTAAGTATTCTTTACCATCAAAGAATAAAAGGGAAATAAATAAATAATTTGGGGCTATATGTTAAACTTCTTATAAAATATCTATTTTTATTGATTACATTATTTTCATGGGAAAACAATTTTTTGCAGACATGCATGGGAAATCTCAATTGTAGTAGTTTCTTTCTCTTCAGCATGGATTTTCTATCTCAATGCTAATAGTATGCCTAGAGGGAACACAAAACTTGACAGATGAAAACACCACATTCAACTAAAAGCAGAATTTTGCCCAAAGGCAAAATATTTTCCCCTTTAGAATCTGCTATTGTTGGGGCCGGCCCGGTGGCGCACTGCTACAGTGCACC